GAGGTGCAGAGTTCTTTTTAAACTGTTTTAAATTTTTCCTTTCCCTTTTGACTTTTTTGTATGGGGGGTGGGATGGATGTTTGGTTGGGCTTGGGAATTTGTTTGATTTTGATGGATTTGTAATATTTACAGTTTTTTGTTTGTATTGTTTTATTGTTTTCGGGGGGGGGGTTGTTTGTTTTAAGGTTTTATTGTGGTCTTAAGGGGAGGGGTCAGGGCTGCTGGGGAGTGGGTCCCAGCCAACAAAATGGCTGGGGCATGTTCCACAGAGGGGGTTGCGGTGGGACAACCAATCTCAGTGATCACGGGTAGGAGGAGGAGTTACGCTAAGACCAGACCATGTCATTACAGAGGAGGCGGGTTTAGTCGTTGTCTGAGGACTATCCCTGCCTCCGGGTCTGGTCCTGACCGGACGGATACTAGAATCAGCAAGCGATACCCACATGACCTGAAGGTGCTGCTGTGCAATGCCAGGTCAATGATTCATAAGACCACTGCCATCCATGACTTGATCATGGATGGAGGACTTGACCTGGCATGTGTAACAGAGACTTGGTTTGATGAAGCAGATGGGCCTGTCCTTGCCGCTGCTTGTCCACCAGGTTTCTCTTACGCACAGCAACCCAGGCCTTGTGGCTGGGGAGGGGGGGTTGCAGTGATTTTTAGGAAGTCATTGGTTTGCACCAGGCGTCCTATTGGGAAGACCCAGTTCTCTGAGTGCATGTTCTGGAAGTTGGGCAATAGGGGCAGTACAGGATTTCTTTTGGTGTACCGCCCTCCCCGCTGCACCAAGGATTCCCTGCCCGAGCTGCTTCAGGTTGTGATGGATGTTCTCCTGGAGACACCTAGTTTGGTTGTCCTAGGGGATTTTAACATCCATGCCAACACGACCTTACAAGGGGCTGCTCGGGACTTCGTGGAAAGCATGGCCTCCATGGGGCTGTCCCTGAATAAGTCTGGCCCAACCCATAGTTGCGGACATGCCTTGGACCTGTTGTTTACCTCTATGGATGTTGATGATCTGACACTAAGTAAAAGCGAAACGAAAGAAGTGCCATGGTCAGATCACTTCCTGGTGCAACTGGACTTCTCCGCGACCCTTCCCCTCTGCAGGGAGGTGGGACCGATTCAGATTGTCCGCCCCGCCACTTAATGGATCCAAATGGTTTCCAGAGAGTGGTAGGGGATGCTTTATCCCATGTTGATGGCCTTTCAGCTGATTCCCTGGTGGCCCACTGGAATGTGGAGTTAACCAGGGCTATTCACTGTTTGGCTCCGAAGCGCCCTCTCTGATTGCATGGAGCCCGGACAGCCCCGTGGTTTTCCACGGATCTGAGGGCAATGAAATAATCGCTGAGACGGCTAGAGCGCCAGTGGCGGATGACCCATTCTGAAGCTGACCAGACACGGGTTAGAGCTCAATGTCGAGCCTACCAAGTGGCGGTAGCGACGGCGAAGAAGACTCTGCATCTGCAGAAAACAGCAGCAGGAGACTTTTTTCAGGTGGTTCGCAATTTAGCGGAGCTACCTGCTACATCAGAGCCCAGTACATGATCTCCTGCAATGATTTTGCAAAGTTTTTTGCAGATAAAGTCACTCAGATTCGGGAAGAGCTAGACGCCATCATGGGAGCAGGGCCAGGGCGGGAGAGTGCTAGAGTCTTGTCTAGTCAAATTGCGTGGGATCAATTCCAATCTGTTACCTCCGAGGTTGTGGACAGGCTGCTTAGACGAGTGAAACCAACCACCTGTCTCCTTGATCCTTGCCCATCTTGGCTTATAAAAGCTAGCCGGGAAGGGCTGGGCGATGGGCTTCGTGGGGTGGTGAATGCTTCCCTCCGTGAGGAAGCCTTCCCAGACCCGCTGAAAGAGGCGGTTATTAAACCGCTTCTTAAAAACCAACTTTAGATGCGGATACAATGGCCAACTATCGCCCAGTCTCAAATCTTCCATTCTTGGGCAAGGTGATTGAGCAAGTGGTTGCTGAACAACTCCAGGCACGCCTGGAAGAAGCGGACTATTTGGATCCCTTCCAGTCAGGATTCAGGCCTCATCATGGGACTGAAACTGCCTTGGTCGCACTGGTTGATCATCTCTGGCGGGCTAGGGACAAAGGTGAGAGCTGTTTCCTAGTTCTGCTGGATCTCTCAACGGCGTTTGATACCATCAACCATAACATCCTTCTGGACTGTTGAGGGGCTGGGAGTTGGGGGCACTGTCATGCAGTGGTTCCGCTCCTTCCTCCTGAGCCGTGTTCAAAAAGTGGTGGGGGGGATGAGTGTTCAGACCCCTGAGCTCTCACTTGTGGGGTGCCTCAGGGTTCTGTCCTCTCCCCCATGCTTTTCAACATCTACTTGCAGCCGCTGGGAGAGATCATCAGGGGTTTGGGCTGGGTGTTCATCAGTATGCGGATGATACCCAGCTCTACCTCTCTTTCAGATCAGAACCAGTGAAGGTGGTGAAGGTCCTGTGTGAGTGCCTGGAGGCGGTTCGAGGGTGGATGGCGGCTAACAGATTGAGATTGAATCCTGACAAGACAGAAGTACTGTTTTTGGGGGACAGGAGGCGGGCAGGTGTGGAGGATTCTCTGGTCCTGAATGGGGTAACTGTGCCCCTGAAGGACCAGGTGTGCAGCCTGGGAGTCATTTTGGACTCACAGCTGTCCATGGAGGCACAGGTCAAATCCGTGTCCAGGGCAGCTGTTTACCAGCTCCATCTGGTACACAGGCTGAGACCCTATCTGCCTGCGGACTGCCTCGCCAGAGTGGTGCATGCTCTGCTTATCTCCCGCTTGGACTACTGCAATGCGCTCTACGTGGGGCTACCTTTGAAGGTGACCCCGAAACTACAACTAATCCAGAACACGGCAGCCAGACTGGTGACTGGGAGTGGCACCGAGACCATATAACACTGGTCTTGAAAGACCTACATTGGCTCCCAGTACGTTTCCGAGCACAATTCAAAGTGTTGGTGCTGACCTTTAAAGCCCTAAACGGCCTCGGTCCAGTATATCTGAAGGAGCGCCTCCACCCCCATCGTTCTACCCGGACACTGAGGTCCAGCACCGAGGGCCTTCTGGTGGTTGCTCACGGCGAGAAGCCAAGTTACAGGGAACCAGGCAGAGGGCCTTCTCGGTAGTGGCACCCTCCCTGTGGAACGCTCTCCCACCAGATGTCAAAGAGAACAACAACTACCAGACTTTTAGAAGACATCTGATGGCACCCCTGTTTAGGGAAGCTTTTAATGTTTGATGTATTACAGTATTTTAATATTATTTTGGAAGCCGCCCAGAGTGGCTGGGGAAGCCCAGCCAGATGGGCGGGGTATAAATAATAAATTATTATTATTATTATTATTAAATCAGCATGGGATTTGCAAACATGCACACCCTTTCCTATAACTGTGAGAAGTCCAAGAAAATAATATAATGTACTGGTTGTTCACAGCAGGACAGGGCAGGCTCCAGGTTCTCAGGTTCTATATTGTCAAATTGGATTCAATAAATAACACTTACTTTTTATGTTACAGCGTGGAGTAGGTGACCAGCCATTTTTGGTGCACACGGCCTTAGCTTGTTGATTTATAGGATCATATCCAACCTCACAAGAATATGAAATTTCATCACCTTCTATGAACTTCTGCCAAGTATGGGCATTGAATGTACCATGTGCAAGCAGTCTAGGAATATCACATTTTTCTAAAAGCAAAAAAATAAAAATAAAAAGGTTGCATCATTGATTGACATATATTTTGGAAATTGAAATCTTATTTTCAAGATAGATGGTGCATTACTCAAGAGACTTGGTTTAAAGTTTTCCTAAATGCTTTTGCAACATATAGATGTAGAAAATAGACACACAATGTGATTCATAAAATAGTTGTTTTATGGACCCCTTCATGTGTTGAAAGAATCTTTAGGAGTCACAGTGACACACCACTTTTTTCTCTTTTAACAACCTTTCCTAGCTGCTTAAATATGAATTGATCTGATTCATATTTGAAGGTGAATCTGTATTTGAACATGAATGTTATTTGCCTTCGCAAAACAATTCAAAAACCAAAACACAGACATCCTTCGAAATTCTCACTGCTCTGAATTTTGCAATGCAGTTCTCTGGCCAACTGATGTGTAGAAAGGTGCATATGCTAGGGTACTGTTTGGATTAAAATACATACATATTTGGAAAATAGCATACAAAAATGCATTATGTAGGGGGAAATGGCTTTGCAAAAATGTGTATGTTAGGCAAACTGCCATACAATATTAGCCAACATTTACTGACAATTTGTCACTATATATACCGTATTTTTCGCTCTGTAACACGCACCCGACCATAACACGCACGTAGTTTTTAGAGGAGGAAAATCCGTAGGCATGCCACCCGTAGGCATTTCCTCCATAATACGCACAGACATTTCCCCTTACTTTCTAGGAGGAAAAAAGTGAGTGTTATGGTGCAAAAAATACGGTATATGTGTGTGTGTGTGTGTGTGTGTGTGTGTGTGTGTGTACACACACACACAAAAAAAAAACAAACCAATAAACTGATGCGGAAATGTGGAGAAATGAATTTAAGATTGGAAAAATTAGAAACTCAAAGAAACTAAAACTCTCCCCCCCCCACCCCGGAATAAAACTTTATTTAGAGTTCAACAATAACAAAGGGAGGGGGGGAAACCACAGTAGTTGCAACATCATATAATTACATTTAACCAGTTTTGACATTTTAACATTTTATAAATACTAATAAAGAAATTATACAACATCACTTTTAACTTACTGAGGTTTTCATAATACACTTTTCTCTCTTTATCTTTTTCTTAACTGTCAGGGAACTGCCATCGGACGGAAGGGAGGTGAAAGGGCTCACACAGGTTGGGAGAGACGCAGCAGCTGAAGAGGGAACCAACAGGGAGGTGAAAGGGCTCACACAGGTTGGGAGAGACTGAAAACCTCAGTAAGTTAAAAGTGATGTTGTATAATTTCTTTATTAGTATTTATAAAATGTTAAAATGTTAAAACTGGTTAAATGTAATTATATGATGTTGCAACTACTGTGGTCCCCCCCCCTTTGATATTGTTGAACTCTAAATAAAGTTTTATTCCGGGGCGGGGGGGGGGGGAGAGTTTTAGTTTCTTTGAGTTTCTAATTTTTCCAATCTTAAATTCATTTCTCCACATTTCCGCATCAGTTTAACACACACACACATATATACCATATTTTTTGCACCATAACACTCACTTTTTTCCTCTGGGCGTATTATGGAGGAAATGCCTAGGGGTGGCATGCCTACGGATTTTCCTCCTCTAAAAACTACGTGCGTGTTATGGTCGGGTGCGTGTTACAGAGCGAAAAATATGGTATATATAGTGACAAATTGTCAGTAAATGTTGGCTAATATTGTATGGCAGTTTGCCTAGCATACACATTTTTGCAAAGCCATTTCCCCCTACATAATGCATTTTTGTATGCTATTTTCCAAATATGTATGTATTTTAATCCAAACAGTACCCTAGCATATGCCTCTTTCTACACATCAGTTGGCCAGAGAACTGCATTGCAAAATTCAGAGCAGTGAGAATTTCGAAGGATGTCTGTGTTTTGGTTTCTGAATTGTTTTGCGAAGGCAAATAACATTCATGTTCAAATACAGATTCACCTTCAAATATGAATCGGATCAATTCATATTTAAGCAGCTAGGAAAGGTTGTTAAAAGAGAAAAAAGTGGTGTGTCACTGTGACTCCTAAAGATTCTTTCAACACATGAAGGGGTCCATAAAAAAACTATTTTATGAATCACATTGTGTGTCTATTTTCTACATCTATATGTTGCAAAAGCATATAGGAAAACTTTAAACCAAGTCTCTTGAGTAATGCACCATCTATCTTGAAAATAAGATTTCAATTGCCAAAATATATGTCAATCAATGATGCAACCTTTTTATTTTTATTTTTTTGCTTTTAGAAAAATGTGATATTCCTAGACTGCTTGCACATGGTACATTCAATGCCCATACTTGGCAGAAGTTCATAGAAGGTGATGAAATTTCGTATTCTTGTGAGGTTGGATATGATCCTATAAATCAACAAGCTAAGGCCGTGTGCACCAAAAATGGCTGGTCACCTACTCCACGTTGTAACATAAAAAGTAAGTGTTATTTATGGAATCCAATTTGACAATATAGAACCTGAGAACCTGGAGCCTGCCCTGTCCTGCTGTGAACAACCAGTACATTATATTATTTTCTTGGACTTCTCACAGTTGTAGGAAAGCTTAAGGGTGTGCATGTTTGCAAATCCCATGCTGATTTAATAATAATAATAATAATTTATTATTTATACCCCACCCATCTGGCTGGGCTTCCCCAGCCACTCTGGGCGGCTTCCAAAATAATATTAAAATACTGTAATACATCAAACATTAAAAGCTTCCCTAAACAGGGGTGCCTTCAGATGTCTTCTAAAAGTCTGGTAGTTGTTGTTCTCTTTGACATCTGGTGGGAGAGCGTTCCACAGGGAGGGTGCCACTACCGAGAAGGCCCTCTGCCTGGTTCCCTGTAACTTGGCTTCTCGCAGTGAGGGAACCGCCAGAAGGCCCTCGGTGCTGGACCTCAGTGTCCGGGTAGAACGATGGGGGTGGAGACGCTCCTTCAGATATACTGGACTGAGGCCGTTTAGGGCTTTAAAGGTCAGCACCAACACTTTGAATTGTGCTCGGAAACGTACTGGGAGCCAATGTAGGTCTTTCAAGACCAGTGTTATATGGTCTCGGTGCCACTCCCAGTCACCAGTCTGGCTGCCGTGTTCTGGATTAGTTGTAGTTTCGGGGTCACCTTCAAAGGTAGCCCCACGTAGAGCGCATTGCAGTAGTCCAAGCGGGAGATAAGTAGAGCATGCACCACTCTGGCGAGGCAGTCCGCAGGCAGATAGGGTCTCAGCCTGTGTACCAGATGGAGCTGGTAAACAGCTGCCCTGGACACGGATTTGACCTGTGCCTCCATGGACAGCTGTGAGTCCAAAATGACTCCCAGGCTGCACACCTGGTCCTTCAGGGGCACAGTTACCCCATTCAGGACCAGAGAATCCTCCACACCTGCCCGCCTCCTGTCCCCCAAAAACAGTACTTCTGTCTTGTCAGGATTCAATCTCAATCTGTTAGCCGCCATCCACCCTCGAACCGCCTCCAGGCACTCACACAGGACCTTCACCACCTTCACTGGTTCTGATCTGAAAGAGAGGTAGAGCTGGGTATCATCCGCATACTGATGAACACCCAGCCCAAACCCCCTGATGATCTCTCCCAGCGGCTGCATGTAGATGTTGAAAAGCATGGGGGAGAGGACAGAACCCTGAGGCACCCCACAAGTGAGAGCTCAGGGGTCTGAACACTCATCCCCCCCACCACTTTTTGAACACGGCTCAGGAGGAAGGAGCGGAACCACTGCATGACAGTGCCCCCAACTCCCAGCCCCTCAACAGTCCAGAAGGATGTTATGGTTGATGGTATCAAACGCCGTTGAGAGATCCAGCAGAACTAGGAAACAGCTCTCACCTTTGTCCCTAGCCCGCCAGAGATGATCAACCAGTGCGACCAAGGCAGTTTCAGTCCCATGATGAGGCCTGAATCCTGACTGGAAGGGATCCAAATAGTCCGCTTCTTCCAGGCGTGCCTGGAGTTGTTCAGCAACCACTTGCTCAATCACCTTGCCCAAGAATGGAAGATTTGAGACTGGGCGATAGTTGGCCATTGTATCCGCATCTAAAGTTGGTTTTTTAAGAAGCGGTTTAATAACCGCCTCTTTCAGCGGGTCTGGGAAGGCTTCCTCACGGAGGGAAGCATTCACCACCCCACGAAGCCCATCGCCCAGCCCTTCCCGGCTAGCTTTTATAAACCAAGATGGGCAAGGATCAAGGAGACAGGTGGTTGGTTTCACTCATCTAAGCAGCCTGTCCACATCCTCGGAGGTAACAGATTGGAATTGATCCCACGCAATTTGACTAGACAAGACTCTAGCACTCTCCCGCCCTGGCCCTGCTCCCACGATGGCGTCTAGCTCTTCCCGAATCTGAGCGACTTTATCTGCAAAAAACTTTGCAAAATCATTGCAGGAGATCATGTGGCCCGTACTGGGATCTGATGTAGCAGGTGGCTCCGCTAAATTGCGAACCACCTGAAAAAGTCTCCTGCTGCTGTTTTCTGCAGATGCAATAGAGGCGGTGAAGAAAGTCTTCTTCGCCGTCGCTACCGCCACTTGGTAGGCTCGACATTGAGCTCTAACCCGTGTCTGGTCAGCTTCAGAATGGGTCATCCGCCACCGGCGCTCTAGCCGTCTCAACGATTATTTCATTGCCCTCAGATCCGTGGAAAACCACGGGGCTGTCCGGGCTCCATGCAATCAGAGAGGGCGCTTCGGAGCCAAACAGTGAATAGCTCTGGTTAACTCCACATTCCAGTGGGCCACCAGGGAATCAGCTGAAAGGCCATCAACATGGGATAAAGCATCCCCCTACCACTCTCTGGAAACCATTTGGATCCATTAAGTGGCGGGGGCGGACAATCTGAATCGGTCCCACCTCCCTGCAGAGGGGAAGGGTCGCGGAGAAGTCCAGTTGCACCAGGAAGTGATCTGACCATGGCACTTCTTTCGTTTCGCTTTTACTTAGTGTCAGATCATCAACATCCATAGAGGTAAACAACAGGTCCAAGGCAGGTCCGCGACTATGGGTTGGGCCAGACTTATTCAGGGACTCACACAGGGGAGTCCTCCTGGGCAGGAGAGCAGTCCTTGTGAGGCCTGTCAGGCCCCGCCCTGGGCCAGGTGGAGAGTGGCAGGAGCAGGGCCCTCAGGCACTCACGCAGGGA